GGTGTGTGTGTGTGTGTGTGTGTGTGTGTGTGTGTGTGTGTGTGTGGCTGCTGACTCGGCAGGCCCTATCAGGGGACATGAGAAATGAAGGCTGAAGTTTAACCAGTCATGTTGTATCGCTCGTTATCTCATTTCTACTGTAAATTCTTCTGTCCAGTCCCCACCCCCTTTCTTCTTCCCTACTCACAGTTTGTGTCTGTGTGACCCCCTCCCCCAGCTCCCAGAGAGAGAGAAACATTAACAGGAAACTCACCATTTAAAACTAGACGCCCTGCTCTGTTAGTATAAAAAAGGCTTATCCATGTCGTAAAAGTGATAATTTCAATATTCTCCTAGAGGGTTGACCAGAAACCCTCAGAGGGACACTTCACAGCCTCTAATGGTAAGGCAGAACAGCATGAAATTTGAGTTCAGTAGTTAAAATGATGATGTAACATGATATCAAATTTCACAAAGATTAAGTTTAGTTTTTGAGGAGGGAAGAAGGGGAGAAGTTAGGAAGAAGAAGTGGTTTTTTTCAGGTTTGTTGGGGAAATATTTTCCAAGGCCCATAACTTTGACCCAGTTTATCAGTTTAAACTGTCCTGACTGAGCACAGGCACTTGTAACCTTGGCTGCTGTGCTCTCAGTGTTTTGTCTCCCTGTTCCTGCCTGTTGGCGTCAGCTGATAGTGGTGTTATGATTCTATCTTGTTATGCAGCATGTTGATTATTCTCTCTGAACTAGCTAAATACATGGGTCTGGGGTAGAGTTCTTCAGATTTGACGTGGCAACTCTACCGTGAGGTCAGAACCTCTGGCTCTTGGACTTGTGATGTGAATTTTCCGGCCGAAGCTCAAAATAAACCATCAGTGTTTGACATCAAAGCTCCTGCTCTTCCCTTGTCTCCTTCATGAGTCGGTGACTCCCACTGCATTGCTACACAGAAGTTTTCCCCACAAGGTTGATTTTTTTTAAATAAGTTTTTTGCAAAAGTAACCCCTGTTGGGGAAATATTTTCCAAGGCCCATAACTTTGACCAAGTTTATCAGTTTAAACTGTCCTGACTGAGAACACGCACCTGTAACCTTGGCTGCTGTGCTCTCAGTGTTTTGTCTGCCTGTTCCTGCCTGTTGGTGTCAGCTGATAGAGGTACTGTGGTTCTATATGTTGTTGTGCACAATGTTAATTATTCTCTCAGAACTAGCTAAATACATGGGTCTGGGGTTGAGTTCTTCAGAATTGTTTTGGCATCTCAACTGTGTGGTCAGATCGTGGACCGTGACATGTCTTGTGAATTTTCCGTCCGAATCTCCAAATAAACCATCAGTGTTTGCCATCAAAGTTCCAGCTCTCCTCGTGTCTCTCTGACTCCTGTTTCCAATTGCTTCAGAAGTTTTCTCCACAACCCCTGGAGCTAAAACAATGACTGCCTCTAGCTTCTCAAATGTGAGGTTGTGCTGCATTTCTTGATATTCCACGAAAAACTGTTTGAAGAATCTAATTGTTTTTTTTAGACAGTCCAGCAAACAGGCAACTATGGGATATTTTTTCAGGGACACTTTTCGCTAATCGGTTAATCATTAAGCAGTTAATAAAAAAATAAATTAGATAATAGAAATATACCTACGATAAACATATACACTGCAACTTCAGACTCAGCTTTTTGGTACTTGCATAATTTATATCAGACTAAAAAGTCTATGTGTTAACTGTACTGTTGTGAGAAAAATGAAATATAATACAATAAAGTCATTTTGCTTGCATTCTGGAACTTGAAATTTACATTTTGTCTCCCATTGGATTGTTTACGTTTTTTATTTTTGTACTCTGCATTAAAGGTGAAATCCACCTATGTTACAAATTCAGTTTGGTACATTTCCCAGGATTTTAGTTTTGTAGTTGTGCAAATCTTTTGTGGCTCTGAAGGGAGATTTATAAAGAAATTGAAGAAAAATAATCCAGATGTTATCATCAGGGTTTTGGATTTGGCTCACAAAGCTAAACAGAAAGACACAAACCTATAAAAGATCTAAATTGATTCCGGGAAATAAATGTCTTAATATCTTGTCGTTCCCTGCTTCAATGTCCCTTTTTTCTCATCTGTGTCTTATTAATTCACCAACTTTATGACAATGCAGGAAAATATAGTTAACAATAGATGACAACTTCCAACTCACTTTTTTCCTATTGAACATGGAAAAGAAAAACTTAGAGAAAAGTAAAGTGGGCTATTTCAGTAACAATAAGAGAAAACAATAAGTAATGGGATTAAGTGGCATAAAATACAATGTGCAGGATATACAAAAACATATCATCATTTGAGGAGTGACGTGTAAAGACAAAAGGACATTTGGTCGTGAATGAATATTGCAAGAAACCTTTACTAAGTTTGATGGGCTACTCACTTGTTGCCTATTGTAGCTGAATATAGCTTACCACCATTGTAACTTTTGCAATTAAATGTATACAAGCATTGGTTTCATTTTGTAACCTGAAACCTATTATTCTTCACGTAAAGCTTTTATAAAGGAGGGTTTCACATGGACACTCGGTGAGATCTATTTCCGCACCCCTGCTCGTATTTCCGCTGTTTCTGTGTTTTGCCCCGGCGGTGCAGGAACTACAGAAACTTGCGTCAGCCGGGAGGGGGAGGGGCAAGCAGCTCAGACCTCTGAAGAGGACAAAAACATGGACACAATCATGCGAAGAAGTAAACTACATTATATTTAAATTAGGAAGAAAGAAGCCCTCCTCTTTTAAAGATCAGTCCGCGGCACTTTCTAAAGCAGCGTGAGGCCTTTAGGGACCCTCGGAGAACGAAGTAGTTTGTACAGTGACCGTGCATCAGCAGCAGGACGGGATACAGTGCTCACATCAAGGTGCATCCGTGTGAATGTCCACGTTGAACAAAGTGCAAGGTCCCCTCTCAGCTCAGATATGAGCAGCGACCAGCTCTAGACACCAAGCTCCCCACTTTTACTCCGCATCTCACTTCAATGTGCCTTTTTACACATTTATTTTGTATAAGCTAAGTTATATTTTTGCACCGAAAATGTCCTGCCTGTTGCTGGGAGTCATACGAAGGTGAGTGTTGGGCACTTGTTTGTTTTTAAAAGTCGTGTTTTAGCTTCGAGAACAACACATTTGAGTAATTGCGTCAGAATATTCAACATGGCTAAATGGTTTTGTCATTCATTCAAGAATATGCAACTCAAAGTTAAAGTAAATTGCCTGCTATCGAATACACCCTGTCTTTTTATTTCAAACACTACAACAGATATTATGATTGTTTCCTGTCAAACATATTAAATATAGAGCTCTTCTGGATAGAGTTGTTTCTGACCATTTTTCAACAAAAAAATGCACACATTTTAACAAAAAAGAAGTAATGACTCATATTTCATAGATTTTTAGAAACAAGTGACTCTAAAGTGCCCCAGTTTTAACAAAAACTTAGTAATGACAGACATTTCATATATTTAAAAGATGCTTTTCTAATGAACCAATGCATATGGCACTATATTCCAGCATTGTTACATCTTAATTTCCATACTAACTGCTGCTGAAACTTGTCCAACTTGATCTTAGAGACAACCATAGATAAGAAGGACTTTTCCATATATCTTAAACCACTCTTCGCTTATGTGCTTTTAAAAGGGGGCTGTCTTATTCTGCATTCCTTCTCTTCACCACTTTCCCCTTCCAGGCTTTGTGATGACACCCCATCACACTGGGACTCTGACAATGTGAGCACTGCATGGCATTGTTTGCTTGCTTTTCTTTGGTCATTAAGAATGGATGTGAGTGACACCATTGCACGACATGTGATTCAGTGACAGGGAGGCCCATGTTGCTGTGCTCATCTGTTTGTATTTCTGCCTGAGAGATAGTAAACTGCTGGAGAGCAATCACTCCTCTATTTGCCTGAATGTCCTGGAGCATGTTCCGTGTATTTTTCCCCGAGTACTCGGTGTACCGTGTGTGTGAGGATAATGAATGCAGCATGTGTGCATGTTCTAAGTGATACTCATGGCTTGTCTCATGAGTAGACTCTGCCCTAAAGAGGCTATTGACCATGGATCAGTGTGAGGGGGGGTCAGTGTAGGCGTGTCTGGTTGTGGTGTGTGAGGATTGGCTTGCTGACTGGAGGTGTGTCAGGAAGAGAAGTTGCTCAGCTAGAAGCAGACAGGGGAATGGATGCCAAATCAGGATTATCTGCCCTTTGACATTCCTCTTCCGCCTCGGGACAAATTCCTTTGTACCAAAATGTGCAGCCTTTTTAAAAATAAAATGTTTCCTCTTCAATCCTACCGAGATTTAAAAGGGTTTCCTAACAGATGATGTCTAGATAAAGTAATACATTTCTTGAAGCATGCTCAACAGGTACGGGGAAGTGGTTCCAGGAGTTAGGAGGCACGCAGAGACAAAAGCATGAGAAGATGAATTTCTGTAGGGGGAAATAGGGGTCATCAGAGTCTGGAAAAGCATCTATTTATGATGCAAAGGAGGAGTAACACAGCTGCTAATCCTGTCCCACTGCTTTTATCTCCGGTCTCAAGTCAACCGATGACGATTCAGAAAACAAATGGAAAATCAACAGTCAAGATTTTTGTTTGTTCTTTCAAATCCAGTCCAACTTGTTCAGATCCTAGTCCCATTTGGAGTTAATGTTCAGCAACTCCTGAAGGGTTACAGTAACAAGTGGCATAACAGGGTTAATTATTGGTAGCATAGCTAATGTATACTGTGTGTGCGAGGAAACAACTCACCAATGCTCATGTTAGACCTAATGGGGATCCTAACAAAGAATAAGAGCTGTTCAAGCAGAAGGTTTTCTTTTATATCAGACCAACAAAGTGTCTTTTATATTTTATAAGGTCAATCTCGGTTGTTTTTTTTTCTGATACAGTAACACTATTGTTCTTTTAGCTCCCCATCAGCCTCATTTTTTCAGTTTATTTGAATCAAAAGTAAAAAAAACAGACACTTTAGCAAAGTTTATTTTACGAAGAAGAGTGTTTAAGTGGGGCTATGCATGGATACATCAATCCCTTGAGATTTATTTTTAGCCCCAACATATGTTTTGACATTTGGGTTTGGAGAAAAATGTGCCAAACGCTTTTTGGCGGATTGCCAATCAAGCTGTACATTTTTCTGAACGTGTTGTACTTTGATCTTTATCACAAAGTAAAGCACTTTTAAAGAGGAATATCAATAGTAAATAAAAATGGAAAAAGCTTTAACACCGCAAATTACTGTAGGGAGATTTTTCAGTCTTGAGAAATATCTATAAGTATTCCCTTCAAACGAAATAAACCCCAACAGCCTCCTTCATTGAGGTTGCTTTGAGTGCATGACAATGACAGGGAGCAGCTCAGTTTACCATATTCATACTTTCAGATTTTCTCTCATCCAGACTAAGGTGTGTAAACAGGAAGAGGGTGCAATCCAGAGACACTTTAATCAGGAAATAGTCCTGGAACCTTAGAATGTATAGAGAAGTAAATAGGGGTGGAAGTTCAAGGTCAAATTTCATGAGGAAGAACTATGCCCCCATTGTATGCATGCAACAATATGTGTTTTGTAAGGTCGCCTGCATTACATACTAACAGTACCAATAAAAAACATTTGATCTGAAAAGCAGACATTGTTATTTGTAGTTCTAAAGAACCAAGATGGCGATGGCCCGAATGCTTCCAATAGGTATATAGAGGATGTCTTAATACATGGACTACTTGTTTAGCTACAGCCAACCAGACTCTGTCAATATTACAAAACGGGTAATACGCTTTGCTGTCTCTCACTGTATCTCCAGCCTGCATTCTCAGCACAAACTGGCTCAATGGTTGGTTCATGATTGATTGCTCCCACATCAATGGTTAAACATCTGGCGTGGTACAGGACGGGGAGTTTGAACCCTGAGGCGTTAGTCTGCTCTGAGCTCTTTGCCCTGTCAGGCTGCATGTTATCGTTTATCCACTTTGAGCCTCTCTGCGTTCCTGCCGCCTGTGTCCTTTGTTCACAACAACCTGATTTACTTGTGTGTCTATCTACATGCACAAGAAGACGTGTGTGTGCCTGTAATGTATTTAATGGCACACCCAGTGCAGGCAATTGAGGGCATCGTGTGTGGAATTGATTGGACAGACAAAGATGAGTGTGATTTGTATTTCCAGTCAAATAAGTAATTCACACGGGTCATTGTGTGTTGAAAACCCCCCTTAATGTATTTGTTCTGGGCTTCTCATCTCTGCATACAGGATAACAAATGTCATATTTTTGGACATTTCAAAGAGGCCATCTGGGGTCATCCACATTGTCCAAAGACAGACAATGGAATAGACGATGTGTGTATGCTTTGTTTTCTACAGACACACACAGGGTTGTGGTTTACCAGCTTGCATAGCTACTGTGCTCTCAATGGTTGCTGTTTGTGAGTATCATGCTGCTATAAAAACAATAGGTCGGCCCCCGCGTGCCCCTCTTTGTGTGGTGAAGTGTGTTTGAGGCTCTCAGGTTGCACTCAAAACTGCATGAAAGCCACCTTGATATCACCGCTGTCATGTGAATAGCACGCGACTCCAATTTAGGGCCTTATTTTTAACTTGTGTTAGTTCTCATGCAACTCAATCGGTATCTGTCAGAATAAAAATGAACAAAGTGAGAGACTGAATGCGTGTTAAGAAGGTCTCTCATTGAGATGAATAAGGACACATCCCTGCATTATATACGCTGGTCATCCCGGTGGGGTCATCCAGTTTCTTCCTACTTTGCTAATGTCAGCTCCTAAGGAGAAACATTTGACAAAAAGCTGTGTTCTCCTGTTTGGATGTTCTTTTTTTTAACTCATGTTAAATTGTTTAATTATGGAAACTCATCAATTTAATGTAAAGAAGAGAACAGCGAGGTCTTTTGAGGTCACAGTAGTATTAAAGAGATGGATTTCAAAACAGAACGATGAGGAGTTTCTGTAAACGCAATCGTTGTTGCAATTTCCATTTGAATGACTAATGTTTATTTTTTTCCAGACATGGTGGTGTTGGGGCAAGTGTCGGGGTCCGGTCCCTGGCCTCCTTCCCCTCACTGCCGCCGGCGGTGGCTGACTTTGTGAAGGGGGCGGTAGATGAGTGTAAGCCTGCCCGCGTGCATGTGGTGACGGGGACCCCGGAGGAGACGGCCAACATCCTGGCAGGTCTGGAGAAGGAGGGGATGGTCAAGAGGCTCAAGAAATATGACAACTGGTGAGGACACTAAAATACATCTATATGCTGATGGTTTTTTAAGAGGGGTTTGTAAATGTATCAATTATAGCCTGATTTTTAATCACATTTTGTATCCTCATAAATATTTGTATGGTTGCTAACAGTGTTTTTATGTTAAATGTTTGTTTTTGATTTTCATGTATTGTGTCTTGATATTTGTCTATGTTGATGTTACACATGGAGCTGCTGATACCAAATTTCAAAAGTTAAATTTCAGACTTGATCTGACCATTAAAGTATTACCGCTATCGTTTGATTTTTGGAGAAACAAAAAGAGAAATCCAAAATCCCCAAAAAGTAATTGTTATTATTTTGATCCAGGCTAATCCAATGTACAACATAGGGCAGTGTTAGATTATCGCTTATCCTATTTAGCTTAAGTGTCCCCTTGACAATAAGTTCCTCTGCAACATCCTCTGATTCCTGCTCTTTTTCCAGTTGGTTGGCGCGTACAGACCCAAAGGACGTGGCTCGTGTTGAGAGCAAGACTGTGATTGTGACCAAGAACCAGAGAGACACCATCCCCATCCCCGCTGGGGGGGTGAAGAGTCAGCTGGGCAGCTGGATGAGCAATTCAGACTGGCAAACAGCCAGACAGGAGCGCTTCCCGGGCTGCATGACCGGTACGTTGTGGGTCAGCGGAACAGCATGAGAAGTCGCTTGTAGAGGAAATATGTTCTGCATTAATGTGTTATCCATTCTTCTCTCTGCAGGTCGCACCATGTATGTGATTCCCTTCAGTATGGGTCCTGTCGGCTCGCCTCTATCTAAATATGGTGTCCAGGTACTGACTTCTTCCTGTCAATACTTAATCTTCAGGAAAAGAGCATGCAATAAAGCGATAAGCCTTCCTATCACACAATATGTGTTCTAGTTATCGCTGAAGCCCTTAATGGTCATTACTCACTGAACTTTCAGGTTGTAGATCAGCATGATAAACACTGTCTTCCACTTGAAGGTGACTGACTCACCGTACGTCGTGGCCAGTATGGGGATCATGACGCGCATGGGCACCCCCGTCCTGAACAAACTGTCTGAAGGAGAGGAGTTTGTCCGCTGTCAGCACTCACTGGGACGACCTCTACCACTCAAAGGTACACATTCAAAGAACCTGCAACAAGTTGTTACAAGAGCTTTGTATTTCCAACTTACAAATCTCCCCTCTCTGCCTCCTCTCCAGCTCCCCTGATAAACTCGTGGCCCTGTAACCCGGAGCAGGTGCTGATTTCTCACCTGCCAGACACCCGGCAGATCATGTCCTTTGGCAGCGGCTACGGAGGAAACTCTCTCCTGGGGAAGAAGTGCTTCGCCCTCCGCATCGCATCCCGCATCGCCAAGGACGAAGGCTGGCTGGCCGAGCACATGCTGGTGAGTGTGGGACCTTGCTGCCTAAAGCTGCCCTTGCATGATCAATTATTTCATCTGTGCACACCGCGAGGTATGGTGCAAATCCTTGTGGTGAGAACAGCTAGTTCAGTTTAATGTTTCGACTACTGCTGAACATAGTTGGTTAAAAGGTGCTGAGTCATGGCGCTCTCTCACTTTGACTTATGATGGGGTAAAAATGATATTCACCTCTCTCCCCTCCTCAGATCCTGGGTATCACCAACCCTCAGGGAGTGAAGCGGTACGTGGCAGCAGCCTTCCCCAGTGCTTGTGGTAAAACCAACCTGGCCATGATGAAACCGTCTCTGCCCGGCTGGAAGGTGGAGTGTGTGGGCGACGACATTGCGTGGATGAAGTTTGACAGCCAAGGTGAGAAGGAGGAGGATGTCCCCCACACATAGAATCGCTTTGTTTCCTTATGCGTGGTGTCAATAATCCTGACGTCTGTCTCTGCAGGGAGACTGAGAGCCATCAACCCTGAGAACGGATTCTTCGGCGTGGCTCCCGGCACCTCAGATAAGACCAACCCCTACGCCATGGCCACCATCGCCAGAAACACCGTGTTCACCAACGTTGGCGAGACCAGCGATGGAGGAGTGTGGTGGGAGGGCCTCGACCCCCCTGCCCCTGGTGTCTCACTCACAGACTGGCACGGCAAATCCTGGAAGCACGGTAAGATAGTTTACACATAGAGCTATCATTTGATAATGTATTTTGCTATCTCTTTCATTACATAAACTATGCTCTCCTAAAAAGTCCAAACTAACTAAAGAGTAACTAAGAGCTATAGTATTTATAGTGCCATCTGGTGGTGTGTCAAAGCATCACATTTTTAGAAATGGAGAGATTTATGATCAGACATTGTATAAACTATAATCAGGTGATCGGTTAAAAACGCAATTTTACTTTTAAGGTAGAATAAACGTTGTTCTCCTCTGTATTAAAGGAAGCTCAACGCAGTGTGCCCACCCCAACTCCCGCTTCTGTGCCCCGGCGGCTCAGTGTCCCATCATTGACCCCCTGTGGGAGAGCGAGGAGGGCGTTCCCATCGACGCCATCATCTTCGGAGGCAGGAGGCCTGAAGGTTTGTGCTGCTCTCAATTCACATCGAAGGAAATAGTTGCAAAACTTTGTTGATGAGCATTTGTATACATGTTGTACATTTTAGAAATGAGCTTAAGTTCTTCTACAGGCCTCTTACATCTCAGCCATGTTGTCTCATCCTTCGACAGCACAATCAAATCAACTAAATTACGTAAACATGCATGCATTAACTGTGATACGTATTGATGTTGTCAGGAGTCCCTCTGGTTTACGAGTCTTTCAACTGGCAACACGGAGTCTTTGTTGGAGCCTCCATGAGGTCTGAGGCCACGGCAGCTGCTGAGCATCACGGTACAAACTCACATTTATTTTTCAATACCTTTTTTGATAATCTATTTTCTTTTATTTATATTTTTCTTCCTACGTGGAATCAATTGAATTTGGGTTTAAACTTTTATCTTTTTGGTTTTTAAAGGTAAGGGTGGGAGTTGATGAGTTTCTTTTAAATAAATAAAATAGAAAGTGACTGATTTGATTATATATTGTCTTATTATAGTGACTAGTTTTTAGATTGTCATCAATTTGGCTGTATCAGCCATAAAGGGTTGTCCAATTGATAGGGTGTTTTAGGTTATGGATTCTGGTATAATAAGGAAGTCACTTTAGATATGACTAATATTGCTTATTCTTTATCCTCCAGGCAAGGTGATTATGCACGACCCCTTCGCCATGCGTCCGTTCTTCGGTTACAACTTTGGCGACTACCTCTCTCACTGGCTGAGCATGGAGCGCCGTAAGGCCCCCACCCACCTGCCCAAGATCTTCCACGTCAACTGGTTCAGAAAGGACCCCGCCACCGGCTCCTTCCTCTGGCCAGGCTTCGGCGAAAACGCCCGCGCACTGGAGTGGATCTTCAGGCGCTGCAGCCGGGAGCGGGAGGACGAGGCGGCCAAGAAGAGCATCATCGGCTGGCTGCCAGAAGATGGCGCCATCGACACTAAAGGTCTGAGCGGCAGTGTGGATATGGGCGCTCTGTTCGATGTGCCCAAGTCTTTCTGGCAGCAGGAGACGAAGGAGCTGAGAGCTTACTTCAGTCAGCAGGTCGGAGCCGATCTGCCCGCTCAGGTGGAGGCGGAGCTGAAGGCGCTGGAGGACAGAGTGCACAATTAAAACCCTACTGACAGGAAGTTCATCCTGAAACAGGGAGGAATTCACTGATGGCAGGATTCAGATCATTATGGTGCAATTAGAGTCACAGGCTTTGTTTACATACACAGAAAAAAAGAAAGTTTTTACAATGTGAGATACGTACTGATAAGCTAGTATGAGCGCAACGCCTCAAAAAGACCATCACCCAGGCCAGTATTACACTTTCTCTGTGCATGAAAACACAACCAGTGACTCTTGGCTTTCTCTTTTATCAAGAGAAATATGTTGGGAATTAAATGTCCGAGATAAAAAGCTAATAATTCAATAACTTTGGACACGACTTCACACTATAACTGTAACTCTGAGGTTTGACTCCACATGAAGGCTAGATTTTGTGTCAAGCTTGGTATGTTGAGAAGCTAATGCCACTACCTCCATATATTCATCTGCTATGGTACTAAACATGGCCATTAATGTGGCCTTAAAGTGCCTTTAAGACATGTTTCCAAAACAATGTCTAGGCTGCTAATGTTATAAGCTGGAGACCAAATATGTTTTTGGCATTGTTCTAAAAAAAAGTTATTAAAAAAAAAAGGATTTTAAGTGAATTTGGGCACCAGATATTTTAATACAACATTAACCAAGCCTCAACAAATGGTCTTTTATTTTGAAACATTACAGCAGGATTTACTATGCATAATTCATCTTGACACTTTTGTAATGTCTGTGATTAAAATGTATGATTTCAGGGGATGTTTACATGTGAAATGTTGGACCAATAAATGCAACTGAGATTATTAGGTTATTTTTAGAAGTTGTATGCCACGGTTTTTATTACAGTGAAACAAATAAATACCTTCAAATGCAGAAACTGTCTCTTGTACCTTATTGTAGATAACTGAATCAAATCAAAACATGTAATATATCACAAAATGAAATTGAATACAATATTTTATGTACAGTCAAGTTACCTATAATTACTGTTCATGTCATTTAGCATAGTTCCCAAGAAGACTTGTGTTATTACCTTGATCTGACATGCAGATAAACACAAATGGCCATATAAGGTCAATTTTTACATATAAATTACAATGATTTACAAAAGTATCTGAGCTGCAGAGGGGGGAGGTTTTAAACTCCCCTTTTTTTTAACCGGTTGGTAATAAATATCCTTCCTGTTGAGGTGTCTTGTTCAATATAAAGACAACACCTTATATGTAAACAATGTAAGTAAGTGTGTTAATGCGTCTCAGATTTCTTCTTCACTTGAGCGTAGAGGTCCTCTGGTCTGTTTGCTGTCTCTGACACTTTGACCTGAGCGTACAGCGTGTCCTCCGTCTGTCCACCGCCCTGCTCTGAGACAGGGGGACTTTCATTCCTCTGCTTGGAGAAGTCGATCTCTCCGTAGTGGATTTCTTCTTCTTCTGTTTTACTCGCCAGCTCTTCACCTGTTTGACTCTGAAGATAGGAAGGGTTGTGCAGCTTTACAAAGAAAGTTACGACAAAAACAAGATAAAGTGCAACAGAAACACATTGAAACATGAATTTCTTTAAAAGCTTAAATAATAAGACAAATAAAAAAGCGTAAAAGTATGACAGGTATACAATACAAGAATTAAAGTTACAGTGCAGTGTGAAATATACAGCTATGATGCAAGAAAAGGGTAGAAAAAGGTTTAAATCCAATATTCAAATAATAAAATATTGTTATTCAATTTACAATACACACATAATACTGTTTTGGCAAGAGTTAGGCATTTTTTTAACTTATTTGCCTTGGAGTTTTTTTTGTACTTTACAGTAACAGACGATCTCTTAACCTCAAAAAAACTAATTTAAAGCATTACTATTGTTCTTCGTCCAATTGTGTCACAGTAATATTGTTATACACTTGTTTTTCAGTTTTTTGTGACATCCTGACAGCCCTAGTTGCACACCCCTCTCATATTAAGTAACCTTACAGGGAAGTTCAGTTTGTACTCACCTGGGTCTGTTCTGCAGTCGGATGTGTTGACATTAAACGCCTGCAACATGTAACAATAATGATACTGTGCTTTAGGTTCAACAAACAGACTGCCATGAAGATAACATGTGAGTGCATTTAACTGAACACCTTCTTTAAATGTTGTGATACTTACCAACCACAGAGAACCAGGCAGATGAGTACCACGATCCCAACGGTTCCTCCAATAACCGCCCCCCACTGTTCAAAGTTGACTTCACCTCAAGACAAAACAAAACCATAAGAGACTAAATAAAAAGTGCTGAACATTAACAATAACAATGTAACCTTGCTGGGTTACTTCAATAGTTACCTATAATAGTCAGCTGGATTGTTGGCGACTTTCCATTACCAAGCTCATTTGTGGCCACACAGTAATAACGTCCTCCCTCTGTGGCATTAAAGCTGTAAATCTCTCCCTGTGAGACGTTCATGTCTCCATCTTGGCTCTCCTTGAACCAGGTGAAGCTGCTGACGGGAGGCTGGGCTCTGCTGGAGCAGCTCAGCTCCACCCAGCTGCCCGCTGACACCGAACCTGAGGACGGACTGACGGAGGCGGAGGTGTCCTTAGGAGCATCTGAGGAAAATGTGAGATTAACTTCATTCAAATCATGCCATCATGTGCTGACAATCACAGGTTGTTCTTACATGAAACATGGAGAGTCTGTGTCTCCTCTGCTGTCTTCACATCTTTCCCTTCATTCACAGGATAGCTGGCAGAGCAGGTGATGTTGAATCCATCATGTTGGTCTGTCAGAGTGAGGGTCTTCTGGATCTTAGTCGTGAAGGTCCGATCTGGGTTTTCCTCCATTGTGTTGGGAGGGTCTTGTTGGAGAGTCCAGGTGAGTTTAGGAGGGGAGTGTGGACAGGGAGCTGGAGCTGAGCAGGTTACAGTGACAGACTCCGCCTCCTTCAGATCTCCTGGGATCTCAATGGTGGGGCTCCAAGGAGAATCTGTGGTTTTACACATTTTAAATGTGAGGATACAGGCCAATACAGTTTTCAACAGTAATAAAAAAATGTACATCTTATTGTAAAACGTGAAAAAGGTCAGTCAGCTGCATCCTTTATGTAGATGTTGTCATTCAGAGGAGTGGACTCGAGTCAAATGACTTGGACTCGAGTCAGACTCGAGTCATCAATTTGATGACTTGAGACTCGACTTGACAAAATCACAAAACACTTGCGACTCGAGTTGGACTTGAACACCAATGACTTGGGACTTGACTTGGACTTGAGCCTTCTGACTTGAGGTAACTTGATAATTTAATTCAGGGGTCTCCAACACGCCGATCAGACTCCCGTCGGGGAGAACAGAATCTCCAGCCGCTTTTACTCTTGCTGAGAATCCTTGCAGGCAGGGGCGGGACTTTATTGAACTGGACCACCATGCGGCCAATCATATGCGAGGACACACTAGGATCATACCATTATGTGAAAGAAGGGTGGGGGCACAGCAGGTGTAGTGGTACAGACCAGCTGCACAGAGAGACGGGAGCCGGATTTAAATGCATGCGCGTCGGACAAAAGTCAAGAAA